TCAAACCTCTGGGCACCGGGGCCGAGCTCCGGGCAGCGCCGGGGAGAGATGGGAGCACGGATCCGGGGGGGTGCAGGGGGAAATGCGCACATCCATGGATGTATGTGTGGATGTATGCATGGATGTATGTGTGGATGTATGCATGGATTACACATGGATGTACGCATGGATGTACACATGGATGTACGTGTGGATATACACATGGGTGGGAAACCTGGGAGCTTAGTGCTGAAAGTGGCTGCACAGCACTGAGTCAGGTTTTTGGGCAGGGAGTGGGTTCCCAGGAGTGTCTGGCAGGGAACGGGCAGAGGTCGATGGATGGGGTGGACGAAAAAAGAAGGAGCTGAGGCAGGAGCCCAGTGGTGTGGATGGGTGTCTGGGGGAAGGTGACAACTGGTACAAGGAGCTAGGAAGCAGGGGGTGACGAGCCGTTTATCTGGGTGCTGGAGCTGTCAGGCATTGTGCAACTGCTTGGGCAGAGATCATGGCCCCCTCGCTCCTTCCTGACAGTCAAAGCCGCGTGGCACTCGAGCCACTGATGCCCTCTCAGATGGGTGGCCAGCACTTGCCCCACCCAGGCCAGGGGTGAGCAGGTCCAGCGGTGCTGAGCACTGCCTGGGGCCGGGGCTGGATTTCCTGCTGCCACTACCCATGTCCCAGGGCAACCATAAACCTTCTGGCTGGGAGAAGCCTCCAGGCTGACTTCTGCTTCTGACTGACCTTCCACGCTGAAAGTGTCACCAGCCTGAGGACCACCATCCTCACCATGTCCCAGTAAATACCAGTGTCAAGGATTTGCTCTCCTTATCGCTGCCCCTTTCCTCCAGTTTCTTCATTCCCCCGCTCGGCTGCACAGCAATGTGTATATTTTAGCAAACGAGGTGTTGGCACTCATTTTGCAGGCCCTCATCTAAGAAATCCTGCCATCGGTGACCCACCACGACCAATACCAGTGTCAAGGATTTGCTCTCCTTATCGCTGCCCCTTTCCTCCAGTTTCTTCATTCCCCCGCTCGGCTGCACAGCAATGTGTATATTTTAGCAAACGAGGTGTTGGCACTCATTTTGCAGGCCCTCATCTAAGAAATCCTGCCATCGGTGACCCCCACCACGACCGCCACTGGCCACAGGTCGTGGTCCTCACCACTCCTCCCTCCCCCATAGATGCCCCCACCACCCTACACGGCTGCTCGGGGCTTTGCAATCTTCTACGTGTGGCAGTGGTTTTCAGTTCACCAAGGGTTTTCGCTATCACCTGCAGACTTTCTCTTTCAGACTATAAAAAGGGATTTGAACCAGCACTAAAACCATCTGGGCTTTATCTTCCCTCCTGAGCAGAGTGGCTCTGTTCAAGGCCGCCGGTGGGAAGGCTCGGGTCTCTCTGCACTGCTTAACTCCCTGCCTTGCGAGAGGTGTCCTTTCACACTGCAAGATTAGGAGGGGGAAGGACTGTGGGGAGAAGCAATATCTTTATTAGACCAGCTGGGGTAATTGGAAAAAGGCGACCGTGCTCCCGGCTCTGCCTTCCTCTGCTGGGACTCCAAAACCCTGGCTGTTTCTTGCAGCCTCATTGGCCACTTTAGCAGAGGTTGTTCCTCCACTGCAGCTGCTTCCCGGGGTGCCCTTCAGAAGCTGCTTTGGAGAATCACCCCAATTCCTCAAAAAACACCAATAAATTCCCCTGTGGGTTTTTGCTTCCCATTGGGTCTCCCTTGGGATGGTTGCGTGTCGCTGCATAGGCTCCAGCACTTCCCCTTCTGAGCGGCCCCATGATATTTTCCCTGTTGTCCCTGCCGTCGAGGAGCCCAGAGCCCATGCCTCAGTTTTCCCAGCTCAGTCTTGCTGGGAAAGACGGGCAAATGTATTCCCATGCTGAGCTTGACCAACAGCAGGGAAAAAGGAGAAGAAAATGGTCTGAAAGGAGGTGAGAGGCTGCCAGGCGCCGTTTAGGATGTGGGCTGCCCTTGGCCTCCGCTTCCTGCTGCTCCCATGACTGGTGACTTGGCGGCGCGGTTACGCAGCGGCGGGTGCTGGACGGCTCAGCGAGGTGAGCTGGGGAGCTCTGAATCACTGCCAGCGCTGACTCGGTGGGGGCCGCTCCTGGAAATCTGGGGGTGCTAGGGGAGTACCGAGGGGCTGCTGGACCCCCAGCAGTGCGTGTCCCCAGCTGGCACATGGAGGAAAAGGGGTGCGGGTTTCCATCATGACTAGTAGCGAATGGTCCCCTGAGACCCCAAATGGACCCAGAAGCTGTGCCGTGGGGTTCAAGGCGAACAAG